GATTTATAAACTTTTTTTTGATTGTTTCAACAGTAAGTATAATTGTGTGTTTGTAGGTTTTTTTTGAAACATTTATTCACATTGAACTATATTTATATGTATTCCATCAACATATTTTTGACATTGAATCGAATGCTATAAAATGGATTTATTCCAAAAAAAAAAAAAAATAGATGCGCTTATCTTCACAATTTAATAAAAAATTTATCAAACCAAAAAACATCTTAAAACCAACAAATTAAACCATCTGGACACTTAAAAAAAACATTTATATTAAATTTATTTAATGCGTAATTTGGTACATAGACAATATATGGCGGTGATAAAAAAGGTGAATGGATGACATTATTTTAAATGTGAGCAAATTTATTCATTGATTCCACACATCGCATCGTACCGCGCTGGTTTATCGAATGGTTGCTTACGAAACACGATCTATTTTCACCGAAGGATGCAGACAGTCAACGTTTGTTTCGGTAATTCATACACAGTTTTCATCTAGTCCTTGCTGCACGCCAAAAAGAGATTCAAATTTTGTCATTAGTTTAAATGGTATTGTTAATGGCGAAAATGATCGAACCATTTAGCGGTAGAGTAAATAAATGGACGAATGTGAGGATGGGAGGTCAAATGATTGACCATTTCAATTGTTAATTTTGAACAAACTTTCTGAGAAAAAAAATATGTGGCACCAAGGGGAACCGACGAACATTTTAACATTTTGAAACATGACCGAAAGTATCGAAAAAAATCTACTAATTCACACCGACACGTAAAAATGTTTGTGCTTCGAACCCTTTGGAACCTGAAGTGTGAGAACACGACAGATTTACTTTCTCCAAATACTATTCGTGGATAATGTGCTTTTATCGTTGAAAAGCGCCAATATTCTCTGATGAAATCTGCCCCTGTATGAATATGTTCAAAAAATGACAATCAAAGTGGATGGCGCTAATGAAGAACAATGTTTCTTATCATTTCATGTTTATACTTTTTTCATTTTGATCCTTTCGAATAACATCCCTTCAAAAATGTATAAAGAATCGAACGTAATTCATAATCCGCAGAAAGTTTGAAAAAAAAATGTAAAAATTGTGGACTTTGAGCGTCAGATAAAGAAATTAAAAGATAGAAGGAAGTTAGAATCGGAATCGTACCAAAAGTTAGTAAATTATGACTGTTACTTCCATTGATATTGGAGATGGTGGAATCGGTGTAAAATTTACCTGCATTAATGGACTAATGGCTCTGGGCATTGCATACAGATGTAATGCACCATTCGATCCACGCTGCGATGCATAATTACTGGATGGTGGTCCGAGTAATGTGGTTGTTGTTGCTGATGATGCGCATGATTCTCGTTTATTGTACGACGTTAACGGTCTAAAAATAAAATTTTATACACATGTAACAAACAACACAGAGATTAATTGAGTATACGGTGGTGAATGGGACGAGAGATGGCATTAGATGATAAAAAATAGTCTCGCAGGGCGAAAAAAAAATTATTCGAAAAAGTGGAAATTAACAAGCTAGAACCAAAAAAAAAAAACTACATTAACGTCGAGAAAAGAAAGATAAATGCGCAACTAAGCATTTGATTATGTGTGTAAATGTGATTGGGGCCAGAGTGCACAAAAAAAATTGAATTCAAATTAAGCATGTCGTGAATTGCTAAATCGATTTAAATAATACATACGACGACCACTTTCAACTTGAATCGACGAATGAACCCAGAACTCATTCTGTGGTGATTATCAAAGATACGTCTACTGCATGTCATATGTGTGTCTGTCTATTCACAGGACACGCGTTTTTTTTTTAATTCAAACAGCGAATTTATGTCAACTTTGGTACATATAATTTCATTATGGAGGTAAATGAATCTCAAACCACTACGCATTTGCTTAAACAGGAATTTGTGTGTCATTCAATCATACGACCATGATACAAAATTTATAGCAATGGATGCATTTGAGTGCATCAAATTAATACGACTGATTAATTGCTGTTTACCCAAAATGGTTTTCGTGGGCATTTTGTCGTTGTTTTATGTGAAATTACATGATAGGTGAATAATGTCCGACATATTGATAATGTGTCATAATTCCACTAAAATAGCCCATTATTTGTCTCGGACATCGAATCAATGGTTTACAATATAAATGCCACAGCAAGCAACACATTGTAATGGTTTATTAAGAGAAACACATCCTCTCCAATTAGGATGTGCTTTCGATTCGTGTAACATAGAAACGTAGAGAGATAGACAAGAGAGAATGAGAGAGAGTGAGTGAGAGAGATATGGAGAAAGATTGGAGAATGAGCTAACATCGACGATGCAGCGTTGATAATATTATTTCTATTAAAATATGCAAATTGACATGGGGCCCAAGTGATGTTATAGTATGCTCACTTCTTCGCCATCATCAGGGCCATTTCGGTCATTGCACACGTACTCAAAAGAAAATTGCCTCATACATTTTCTGTTCTCTGGTACACATTGTAATTTTTTCTGTTGCAACGGTGTAGTGCAATCACTTGCCCCATTAGATAAAGTCAATTTATAAGACAGTTATATGCATATGTTTTATCCCATTTGGAAATATATTTTTCGCTCGGTTTACAATTGTGAACTTCATATCCCATACTTTATTTCGCAAGCTCTGCAAATGACCATCATCCTTAAAACTTAATTTAACTGAAAAAAAAAACGCCATAACAACAAATATGCCACAGTGCACATGATTCGTGTTGCAGAAATCATTGTTTTCACTTTGTGGCATAGGCAGTAACACAAAATCAAATTCATTTTATAATTTGAGTTAATCAATGGTGGTTGGCCAAGTTACCGTGAGTGGAATGCGTGCATTTTTTGTTGACCGTATAATTTTTCAGCCACTTGGACGGAAAAAAATTACCATTTTAATCCGATTAAAAAAGCCATTTACCACAATTGACTTTCCGTGTATTTTTTTTCCCGCAACCGCTGTGAATCGTATTTAAAAATGAACTGCCGGCGGTAGAAGTCAGTTGGAAAGACATTGTTTCCGGTAGCCATATCCAGTGGCCACCTATCAACCAATTCAACCTGTTTATTTTACGAAGTCGGGCATGCTCTTGCTTGCCAATTTTATCATTATTGTTATTACTGCTGATGTTCACCCATCGATAGAGAAAAAAAAAACAACAAAACCTGGCGGCAGTACAACTCGCAGAATTATCCACATCGACGAGAATGGAACATTCATTTCAATTCGGGTTTGACAGTGCACGAAAGACAACAAACAAAGTCGATACACAAGACTATGTAATAGAGAAATATAACTTCGAAAACATCAGCCGGCTTGTAATGTTCGATGGATAAATTTTTGAAAATAGCCACGCACGACTTATTGGCATTTAATGCTCGCTGAGCCAACCCGACACGTTCCATCTTGTACAATTTTCCTGATGAGGGATAACATATACTCTCCCCGTCTCCGGCTCAATGTATACGTATGTTAAGTAAAGGTGCGCGACTTTTAATTATATTACAACATTATTAGACTGACGAAGTTTCGGCATATCGATATTCTGCTCAGGTGTATTTATTCAGGGCACATGCGACGTATTTAAAATGACATACTCTTTAAATTACAGATATCCCACTGTAAATGAAATGAACGAGCAAAATTCATAGGTAACCATTTGGTAAATGGCATATGACATGATGACAACGGTACAACAATAACGGAAAATGGAGTTGTCAATGATGTGAACAAAACGGAATATTTCCTTTGATAATTTAGGGAGTGATGCCCATAGTGACGAGAAAATAAGATATTTATAAGTAGAACTTTGTATGTATCAAAATGTCACCAAGGGAAAATGGCTCATAAGTTTTTTACGTTTTGATGGAGATTTTGTTCTTTTTCACTTCTGAAACGGATTTGATGCAGAAATGTTGGTGGATTTCTGTGATTTTTCAATTTCTGATTGATTGAAGCAACGACTTGTTGACAACTCTGACGTAAACTTATTGACAATTATGAGTTTGATGAAATCTATCGACATCGGTTCCACAATATCATTCGAAAAATGAAATTCACAAAGTTTTTGAGCAAATTCAAAGTTCACTTCAATTCTCTTGCTCTTCCAATAACATTTTATAGTTAATTTTCACATGATTTTCCATAAACGAAGTTTTCATATCACAAACTTTTCGTCAATTATTGAAAGTCACTTTGTTTCTTTCCTCTTTTCAAATTTTCATGCATACTTCCTCTTTTGTTTTCTATTCCCTCCATTCTTTTCACACACACTCTACTTTACCTCTTTCTCTTCAACCTTTTCTCTCTCTTTTTCTTTAACGAACTCAATTTAGAAAAAGACAGAGAGAGAGAGAGAGAGAGAGAGAGATAGAGAGAGAGAGTGGAAGAAAGATAGAATAGATTCACGTGATTTCCCATTATTTCACTTTCAAAGATTCAATTACTATTGAACACTGCTGCTATTGGTATTCGTTTCTGTGACACTTTGCGTAAACTGGTGTAGTCAGTTTTCAGCAGTGCGCCCAAGTTTGATTTATTGAATTTAATTTAACGAATAGTTCGCAAGCAGTGTCGTTCTTGTTATCGATCTTCTTCCATACTTAAATGTGTTTGGTATACTTTAGCAATGAAAGCGAGAGCAAAAAAATAACAATCGCCTAAATCTATACTCCGCAACACTTTTATTGAAATTACAGAAGTTACATCATTGCGTCGTTTTTGTACGACAATTTCTATTTCACTTCGTTCGTATCCTATCCATTTCTATTCAATTCTTAATGAGGCTAGAACGGCATGACACACCGTTTTCATTTAATGAGAGCTACTCTATTTTTGGAACATCCCATAAAATGAACAACGTTTTTCGCAATAACTGCAAAGCCATCAAATTGCGTACATTTAACAGCGTAGTTTCTCAATGAAAACATTTGTATGAGTTTCTCATTTGATTCATAATTTATTAAACAAATTGATTTTTCGAGCATATATTAATTCAATAACATTGCATTGAATAAAAAAATAAGCTCAAATGAAAAAAAGTTAGCACAAATAGTGGGTGCTTTTTATCAACACATCAATGCAGAGTGTGCATATGAAAATAATCAAAAATAATAATTGAAGCCGCATAGAGAAACAATTTTTAACGTTCCGGAAATCAACCCCAATTTAGTGGTTGAAAAAATATATCAAACTATACGATAGAATAGGATGCTTTACTCGTCTCATGAATGTTTTTTTCGCAAAAATATCATGGCATAAACAATGAAAAAAGCGCCAAGGGTAATAATACCTTTGAAGCTCTTTCACTGCTCCTTAATTCCATGCGTTCTACTTATACCAACGATTTTGCTTGGTTCGTATTACCAATTTTTACCAATGAGTGTGAGTTGTTGCCATTCTTCATTTATGTCCTTATGTTTTTTTCTCTTCTTTTTGACATTCGAAAGTTCTTTTTGAAAGAGAAAATAAACTTCAAAAACGGGCATGAATGGCACAGTAGCACAAAGGCTTTGTATTGCAAATATTGGCAACTGCAATATCGCTGCAGGCCAACAACATAAAAAAAACTGCTGAAAGTTAACCTTTATTTGGAATAGCACAGCGTCAATATTAGCATAATACGAGCGTTGTTTGACTATACATTTTTTCCCGCTCTTCAAATTTCATGTATATACATACACACGCAATTTCAAAGAAAAACAAAACGGCACACACGATTCTCGGCAAAGTGCAATTGCATTGTTGTTTTTGACATGTTATTCCACACAAATACTACACACAATAAATAGTCAAATAAAATTCAAACACCAAACGTCATACTTTGAATTTTAAATGAAAAAATTTATTAAAAATTCAGTGGTTGAAAATACACACACAACGCTTAACATTGAACGATTGTCAATAAGCATATTTGTTGATCAGATAGAGAACTGATCATTTTTTGCAGTCATAGTAATCAAGATTTCGGAGGAGATAGCTTGTTCAAACGTATATTGATGACGACATGTTGGTCGATGTCAAGCTAAAAATACAAGGAAAATAAACGTAAAACAGACGCAAAAAGTTATATGAACATCAAACAGATGTATGTACGTGTATTTTCGATGGATTTCTTTTTGTGAATTGAAAAGAAAGCAAAAAAATAACATCATAAGCTGTCATCACAAAAGTCGAAACAGCGAAAATAAGAACAATGAGTTCTTGCATGTACTGGGACGTACACTGTACAAACGAAATGAGCACACCGTTCGTATTTTGTGCACAAATTGATTTTCATTGAGAGTGAAATAAAAAGCCGACTGCCTGGATATGCAAGTTTAAAAGAAAGTTTACTCACAGTAGCCGACAGGTCACAAAGCACTATGGGCACTATGGACGTCATCCATGCACAAAGTAAAAGAAAAATCGAAATAAAAACAACACCATGCAAATTCAGATCAAACGGCAAAGCAGAAAACTAATAAATTTATAATTTGAATATGTACTATCGATTTTATTCAACGAACCTTACCTTCACAACATTTGACTTCTACGTTAATACAGTTTTACAGCTCGACATGCACACACTAAATTGCAAATAACACGAACAACAGCGAACAGATTAAGCGATAGACAGAAAGAGAAACAAAGAGAGAAAGAGAGAGAAATCGAGTTCAAAAAACAGACAGAAAGGGAATTTGTTATTAATTCAAGGTTTAAATTCGTAGTTTGACGCATCTATTAACAACAGAAGTTTACTTAATATCTTTGACAGTAACGGAATGGGAAAATGAGAATCATCAACGGCGATTTCTCACATTTTTTCAACTTTTTATGAACAACAGTGTTCGATATCAATTTCAAAGCTTCTTTCAGAAAGTAAAAATTCGTGGAAAATTTACACATTTGAATCCGAATAAGTCTACAATTCAAATAATGGAAGTATCTTATGAATCTTGATGTACTATCCTGAAGCGACATTTTGACGCTTGGTTTTATATTCGTTATGTGTGCCAGATTTTCGAGATAATATATATTTTTGACAACTGTTTCACATTAAAAACTACAAAAATAGCATGCCAACGAGTGAGATAACTGTTCGAGCCATGTATAACATCCATCGAACGCAACTTTACCAAATCTGAGCATGGTCAGTAAGTTCAAGAGCATAAAAAGGTCTTTGTAATTTTCACATTTCTCCGTACACAAGATTTTGATTAAAATTAAACTATTTTCAAAAATGCAAATCCATCATGAAAACTTCAGACCCCTAAACGTTGTTTCTAAATCATCTCTTTTAATTTGCATAGGTTAAAACTCCTGCGTCCAAGGACTCTATGCGCCCTAGTGATCAAAAGGGTTTATTTTTCTCTCAGCTCGATAGAATTTTTTTTATGAAAATACAGCTGATCTCGCCAGTTATATTGCATGAAAAAATGTCATAATAAAGCGACATTTTTCTTGAACGAGATTCGAAAATCACCGCCCTGTCATGACAATGCATTTTACGCTAATCTGAAGATGATGTGGAACTTAATTGAACTGAAAACAATGCTGAAGATGTCATTTAAAATGTAATTTTTCAAAATTGCTTCTGATATAATCCAAACTGAGTGATTCACATGTGTTTTCGAATCAAGTCGAAAAGTTCAATTCAAACTGAAATACGAAGGACAAAAAGAAGTCACGTTCAAGATGTCAGTATTAATGTATTGAGTTTTGCGTGTGCGACTGGAATTGATGTAATAAAATCCAAATGCATTGATGCATTGTGCTCGTAAAAATGTGCAGATTAAATCGCATTTCGAGCGCCATATGATTGTGTGATGTATTTCGTATAAATAAAAAAAAAAAACAAATAATGAAAATCAGTTGGTGAATCGTAAAACATTACTTAAAAGTATAATAACAAGTAGTTTATCTTTTAAAAACAAACCCCATTATGATGGTGGCATTGAAAGGCGGATTCAACGTGCATATCGGTCGTTTATTAGTTGTAAATGTGGTGTACGAAAATGTTGCAATTAAAGTTTTTAATGAGAGCATATGTGTATGTGTATGTTCATTTTATCGTTATTGGCGAAATAAAAATGTTTTATAGCTTCGAGTTGAATGGAAAAAATACAAGATGTTTCGTGCATAAATTCAGTTGAACATCATTTAATGCCATTTACAAAACAAAACTCACATATATATACACAACACAAAAAAACATGATACACAAACCGGAATTGTGTGCCGCGGGTTTTTCTATTTTGTGTCTTCACCAAGTTTTCATAAACAGTTATAAGTTTTTGAAAACTTTCAATTATGTTTTGCCAATACGAATTCTGTTTCTTGGCAAAGATATATTCTTGCCTTTATGCTACAAGTAACGGCAAAGAAATTCCATAGTTTTCTATTTTAAAAAAAAAGTGCACAGAACGGAATAATACAAATTGCAACAATCAAAAACAAGAAACAAAGTCTTAATAAGGCATTTATAGCATCTGTCAACATTTCATAGTGCAGACATCATATGCAAATCACTGCTCACTCGAAGTTAGAAAAAAAATTCTTCCATTAAATGTTTCAAGTTCAATTATTCTTTAAACCGAAAACTGTGACAGAACTGAATTGGCGCATTTTTATATTTTTTTTTGTGACGTCGACGTTTCAGATTATTTGTTGAATTTGCAATTTCTCTGCATCAAATTACTGTTTTTATACGGTAGGCAAAAGTGAGATCATCTTAGGAGCTAGTGAAATATAGATTCCGAATATGTGCGAGAAGGACGTGCATTTTACACTCTGCTCCGGAATAGCTCGGATAGACCAGGTTGAGCGAATACTTTTTTTCCATTTTTTTCCGGACTGTAGACAACTAGGTAGAATTAACTTTGGGTAGAATCTTTCGATTTGCTAGGGTTTTTTGCTAGAAAAATTGAGAATCTTTTTTTGCTCCTCAATTCCAAAAATGTTCTCCTGACACTATCGGAAATGTTGACTTGGCTCTATAATCACAAATTCCCAGATATTATCTCTGAGACTCTCAGACTGAAAGTGGAATATGAACTTAACATTTGTTACCGTGAAAACTTCTGAAAGCTCTTCGTTTTTTCCGTGAAATCTCTTTACAGTTAAGTTTGAACTAGATGGAATACACTTTGATAAGACAATTTCCGGCAATTTTTGCTATTTAATTTTCCAGGAAGAAATTTAACACTAGATCGAATCGGCTCTCTGGTTGGTTACATATCGAAATTCGTTTGTTACTTCATGAATTTTGAACGCTAATTCCACATATTTGGTGTGTTTTTGCGTTTCATCTTGCGTATGTAGAGATTTCTGTCATCCATACGACGCAATATTCAAAACTGACATCTTCTTCTTTCATCATTTTCAGTGATTCCGTAGAACACCTGCTATGTAACATTACTCCTTTCCGCGTAACACGCTAGTGAATACTAGAAAAACTAGTAAATCTAGTGCGAAGAATGACGTCACAAACGAAGCCAACTTCACATCAAAGGCCATATAATTTATATGAAAAACTACTGAGAGCCAACTTCACGCACTAGAATTTTCTAGTTTTCTAGTCAAATCTTATCAAAAACTAGATGCACTAGAATTTCGTGATTGACCACATGCATTGGAATGCTGGTATGCATGCAATTCAAAGTTACAAAGTGCTAAAAGGCACTCTAAATAAGCCCTGAATCGTCGTATTCTATCTCACCAGCATCAACGAGTATAATGTAAAAAAGCCAATTTCCACATGTATATATGTTCTACGTGATTTAATAAAAGCAAACATTAAACGAACAGAATAAGAGCGAAAACTAAAACATTTACAACACACTGATAAAATATAAATGAAATAATGCGAGCATATATGCTTCCAATCATTATTTTATCTCTGTTTGTGTGTGTGTGTGTGCGCTTATTATTTTCGGCTTAAGCGAAAGCAAATCAAAAACGAAAATTCAACTAGAAGTGAGAGAGACAAGGATATTATCGTGGAGTGTATGCATTCTATTATAGTTCGTACCGTATACTTTCCGTTCGTTCTCTAGGTGAATAATCTTTCGATTGACTCATCCCTGACGTGTACCTAAACGTAGCCCAAAAACATCAATCAAAAAATAAGAATTTTATGAGTGCATTAATGGTTTAAATTTTAAATTGCATCATCAATTTTTTTTCTGGGGATAAAAGAGGGGTTTTCAATTGTTTTTTCGATTTTTTAGATCGTTTTTATCCTCTTAACAATTTTCAATTTAGCCCATCCTCATAAATTAGTCGACGAACAATCTTAACCATACTTATACATGCAGGATTTTGCTGGTTTTTGTTGATTTTCTTCTTCTTTAATTTAAATGAAGCCAATTTGTACAGAAATCACCACAAATGCATGGTGAAAAGTTAAAATGCGAATTTAAAATAAATTTAAAATAAGCGTATACCTTCGACTTTGTCGCGTTTGTCCAATTCGTATATTGCGTTCATCCTTCCAGGTGTTGAATCGGTGTCGCAAAGTGGTTCGAACTTCTGAATTCAGGAAACAATAAAAAAGTGATACGAAAAACCCCTGCAAAACAAAACATACACAAAAGCCATTAACATGGATTACACGCAATATAGTCACAACTTACTTTCTCGCAAACAAATAGTTTATATCGTTTTTTTGGGGTATTTCTTACGTTTCGTGCTGTTTTGCTTTAAACATAAAAAAACTTGACAAAATTAAATATTAACCAAGTGAAAAAGTGTTACACCATTCCCGACATAGTGTATGTCATTTTTCTCACATTGTGAAATGGCACGACTTACATTATGTTTCTATTTTTTACTACCATCGATCGACATCAAGACGCACATACACAAAATAAACAAAGTTACACACTCAATACTCCGGCATAAATATGTAATGCAATAAAATACAATGCAAACATTACACAAACATTCCGCTTCGGCGACGCAGAAAGTAACTTCATTGTGAAAATCTCAACACGAGTAATAGAAACGTTCTTTTTTCTTCTCTCTCATGACATCCTGAGAATTGAGCCACACAAAAAAACATACAAACAAACAAAGAACGAAGAAACCATTGAAGAGAACAAACTGTGTGACAAATTATCTTCGGTTACATTTATTAGATGGTATGAGTTTCAGTTTTTGAAAAGAATTATTGCACATCGAATGGAAAATTCAATGGAAATTTATTTATGGATTTTCTATGTGTCCTTGTGATCACTTATAATTTTGCTTCATTACCGGTCGTGTTTGAAAAAGTGTCTAGGGTCGTCGCGAATGGAAAATGTGAATAAAACATTAACAAAACTATAAACCGAGGAGAAAAGCAGTCTTTCCCGTTTTACGAGCAATTTTTCATTTACTGAAAATTAACTTTGTTTTCCTTTTTTAGACACTCGATTTTCTAGTAACTTTAATCACAAATTTTAATTCAATTGCAAGCAATATGTGTGGATATGAAAAATGTGCCTTGCACGGAACTTTTGATTCGCAAACGATTTTATAAATCACACAACGTATTGTACGTGTGCAATCCATTGTGTCGGCGACATTGAATGCAAACATAATAAAGATTGTGGAAATGATTCTCTTTCAAGCAATATCCGATACTCAGCATGGAAAAATCAAAGATTTTCTCTTTAAATCGAAATAACCAACAGAAATGAGAGGAAAAGTGGAAAGAGAGAGATTAAGAAGAGGGAGAACGAGGCAGAAAGAGAGAGAGAAGAGACGAGAGACGAGAGGGAAAAAAGAAAGAAAATTTACGGGAAATCAAAGTCGTGTATAGTCAATTGAAAAAAGTGAATGTGTCTCAAGCTTTTTTTTGCTATTGTTGATGTGATGAGCCGTGTGTAGCTTGATTGTGAAAAACTGATAATTACTTTCGTTGGTGTGTTTCTTTTGTCACAGTGTATACGCCTAAGCTGTTACAGCATATGTTGCTGATAAAGCATGCATCGAGAAAAAAAGATACTCATCAAGCGACTCCGGTTTAAATGCATCGACAAACAATCACCCACGTTGTTCGAAGTATGTGTATGAAAGTTTTCTATGTTAGTTGTAAATTGCTGTCGATATCAATTTATTGGTTTTATACATTTTCCGTTCGCTCCAACTCTGGCGCGTTCACTGAATCTTGTGACAATTCGCATCTAAATGGCGCTTGTTACAATTCACAGGTAATACACAATGGCTTATAATATTCATATTTGTATTCTTTTGAGTTTGTTTTCGTTCAATGAATCTTAGAAAAAGAAAGAACAACACACAACTTTCATTACATCAAAGCCATATAGAAATGCGTGCGTGTGTTTCATTTGATTGTTTTGTTTGTTTTTGTTGAGTGCTATTTTTCTTTTGTTCTGCTGTGCAACAATTTCGTTTGTCGATTCGTGAAAGTATGTTTCTTGTCTTCTTTGACTTTGGTTGAACTTGAAGTGGTCTTAGACTCGATATTTCGTACTCTTCCCCGCCTTCGCATTGTTTTATTTAACAGTAATGTCAAAACAACAAATTCAACTAACAAACAACAGGAACAAAAGTAAAATGAAACGCGTTCGTTAACTTTGTCCGGTTGAAACTAATCGAGAAGTACACACATATACACTCACCAACCACTTGACAAAACGAAAATTATTTGCTGTTGGTTGGCACAGCGAATAATAGGGATCTTCTTTTTGCCCAAACGCATTAATCCGTTTGGTTTTCTTGTAAAACGATGACTGTTTGTGTTATCCGCGGGAGAGTATTAAAGAAGACACACAGAACACAATGAAATGACCGGCACCGAGTGTGTGTGTGTGTTACAAAAAAGCGTGCCATAGTTTGTGTAACAATGGCAAATACACTAGTTAAACTGAACAGCATTTGTTTGCCGAACAAAACAAAAGAAAAACAAAACAACACTACCCAGATAAATTTGATTGCAGTTCATGGATATCATCATTCTATTTACCTGTGTACTGAGGAGAAATGCTCGAGCCACAAAAAATATTGTGCTACCTACACCTTCATTCGGTCCGGCCAATACGACCAAATATGTAATACCAAGCAATGGTATTAAAACCAATAGAGCTTTCGATGCCTTGCGATATTGACGCGTTTCAACTGTGTTTGCTGAACGCAATTTTGTAATCAGAACCTAAGGGAAAGAACATACAGTTAGAATGGGATTTTAAATTGATGCTCTGGTAGATTTTATGCTTTGCTCATTTGGGCTTATTGTTTAATTCAAGTAAAACTATAGTTTTTATCTAAATAATAATGTTTCGTGTTTAATTAAAATTAGTACACTTTAAAGTTTTCTCTGGCTTTCATTTATTTGTTAGTAGTTACAAACTGAAGTTTCCAAGTTCTTGGACATCTCACACCATGGCAGAACGACACTTGTGCTTTACACTCTCCAGCTACCTAGGATGTTTTTATTTTACATTTTTCACATGAATTTTATATTTTTTTGACGAAAACAACAACCATAAATCTTCTCTTTCGCTTTCGTTTGAAAATGAGGTTTTATCATTTTTCTATCTAAATTAGCTTTCCATATAAATAGAGTCGATTTTGAAATATCGAGAAATGTTCGTGATTTCGAGAACTTTTTGAGCTATTTTCGATAATTTGACGCGATCATCGTTTGAAAATCAAATCTTATCGTTTCATGTCATCGATTGATCTGATTTGTATTTTTTAACGTTATCTGTAATCAATCATAGTCGTTGATCCAACTACAAAATGTCTAGGTTAACCCATACATCTAATGCGCTCTATACTTTAACATTGTGACGTCGCAAATCTGTCAAAGTGCTGCCTTTGACAGTTGCCGAGTGAACTATGCCAACATTGCATTGTACGATGTTGAGGTGCAAGTGCAAGCGAAAGCTGTTTACATATTAAGTAGTAATGCGGTTCACAAGACAACCATCAGGTGGCTACTTGGAGCTGTCAAAACAGCGTATGAAGACTATGGGTTAACCATACCCTTCGCTTTCTAAAAAAAATCCTGAAAACGTAACCTAAGCAATTTTGTTGATTTTCAATGCTCACTAAATGAAATCGATTTTTTCGGACCTCATTTTGAATTTTTTTTTATTACTCTCTTTAAAATCTTTCGCGTCAATACTTATGGTCTGTCGAAACTATTCCGTATCTTATCAGTAAAAATTCCGTTACTTACCCACATGATGCGAAATAAAAATATTAAATTGATTAAAATAACCGCACAGGCCGGACCTTGAAATATCCAATCTAGGTTAGTCTCTCTCATCCACGTGCACTCAATTTGTAACTGTAATGATACCAAGTTTGTTTCGACAAATTAGATTAATTTGATTTATAATAAAATTTAAAATGAATGTGGAGGATTTGTACGTTCGAATTTTCGATCCATGGAATTTTGCATATGAATTTATGGTCATGGCATCGTTTGAATTTGTGGCATTTGCATGCGTTTTGAATATGATTTGTGCACAATGATTGCCTTCGGAATTACTTCATTCACTCTGGCTAATAAATAAATTATTACTACTATTGTTGTCGAACATTTTACGCTCTGTGCATTCGTGATATGGTAACATGAACTACGAATTTTTTCTTCTTCGTTTGAATACGCAAATATTATGCGAAATGTGCATGCATGTGGAAAATCCACTTTCATTCAAAATAGGATTTTCGTTCTCATTTCACTCATCCTCTCTCTTTCTCTTCCTCTTTCACTCTCTCTTTCCCCCCATCTGTCTTTTTTTCTCGTTCTCTTTCTTTCATTTCATTTTTCTTATATTCTTTTTATACTTATTTGGAAATCAAAAGGCAATGTTCTATTTTCGATGTGTGTGTGTCTTTCGAAGTGGATAAACAATGAATTTCAGCCGAAAATATATTCAAATTCCGAGTAAAGATTTGTCGCAAAGCAGAATATTAAATTTGATACTGCAGTGGCATCAGCAGTAGCAGCGATAGAAAAAAAGCACAACAACCGTCAGCAACAAATCACTGTTACTCTTCTACAGACTCCGTAGAGAGTCATTCACAAAAGTACAGAAGAAAATAATTTAATTTACTTGTACTTTTGAATACATCATACTTTTCATATTGTTTTGAATTGTTTGACGAACAAAAGGCCACATCGCCGCTGAACATGTTTAAATAAAACTTGGTTGCATGCACACTGTCGCAAATAAGTTAAAGTAGAATAGTCAGGAATATGCCAGTTATGAATATGAGATGACATTTAAAGAAAGTGGCTATTTAAATGTAAAAAGTAGCCAACAACAAGAAAATAATCCATTTTTCAAACGAGTGGATTTTTATAATTTTTACTTAAAATATGTCATCTCACAATAGAACCAGTGTGTGTGTGGTTTTTTGCCAAATCTCTCTATTCTCTTCTCTCTTTCAATGAATTTCGTCATTATTTCATTATTTCACTTTTGTAAAATGGACATTCCTTTTACTATCTATTTCTTTTTATGTTCTTTTTTTACAAGAGAATTTTCATTCCCGAGAGTCATCTTTCATTCCTATTTTGTGCACAATTTTTGGCTTTCCACCGTAAAAAACAAACAAACCACAAATACTCCGATGAGGCCATGTATTTTAACTCGATAATTATGAATCACGTAAAATAAACATGAACATTTTTGAGGATAACCATTTTGAGTAAATTGTTTTTATGCTTATTCATTAGCCCATTCACAAATTCTCGAACGGGTTAAATTCTTATCTCGGCCGAGGGGTTTTTTCTTCTCTCAAGTGGAGTGAGAATCAATTTCGCAAATGAATTTTTAATAAACGACCCCTTTTTTATTCAAGATTTGATTATAGCGCAAATGAATCCACGGATTTCAAATTGATGTGAACGAGTGAAAGGATTCGAAAAGGAGAGAATTGGCAAAAATAAAGCATCAATTTATCTAATGGCAATATGTCAAATAAAATTATTATCATTGAGTTTCATCTTTATTCAACACAACCATTCAGTGTCATAACATTTTTATGAAATGCACAATCAAAATTAGAAGCGAACTTTTTATGTAGGATTTTTATTGGATGCCTTAAAAGTATTCTACTTAACAGTTCATTCGCTGCCGCGAAAACACAGAAGTAGAGAGAGAGAGACCGATAAAATCAATGGAGAAATTGACATGCAGCTTTTTCATTTTATGTTTAACGGAAAACTCACACAAAATATTTTCATAGGCTTGGAATAAACACCACATATCTATAAGCTATCGACTGTGGCAGTGATACCATAGATATTTGATGTTAAAAATCACAGGGGTGGAAAGGATTAAAATCAATTCATTACGGACATTTTTTGGGGTTCCGAAGAAAAGTGAAGAGTGAAAAACGCAGATTTGCAGTTACGTATATACACTGGGAAAAGGAATGCATACATTATTCAAAAACAATGATAATGTCTATGTTGTAGATTCTACAATTCGCTAATTTGGTAAGTTTTGGCTTTTTACAGGTGGCTCGTCTGCCTTTTCGTTAGAAGTCCGTTTTTTTGAAGACCAAATTGACGCTTTATTGTCTACGCTTATATCTATGAGTGAGCGGTGAATTGAAAAGGTTAAGTCGAAGTCCCCAACTCGGGGATTATGTGGCTGATTAAAAACTTTTTGCGGGAAAGTAGTACTGGTGAAATCCTAGAACTTTACAGTAGACAGTTGTCTGCACAATTCCCGGCCGAGAAAAAAACACAAAATTCTCCGTCTCACTCATAGACACCCAACATCATTTTAAATAGTATTCGTATACATTTGTGCGAAAAACCGCATTGGAACGTCGTTAACATTCATACAAAAAAAGTGTGTATTGACACAATGATTTATTTATTGACATACAACAAAGTGTATACATTGGTTTTTGTGACGATTTTATATTTTTCGTTTGTTTGGCAACGATTTTGATGAATAAAAAAAAGTAGCTGCCTCATTTATGCCATTGTTAATGTTAAATAGTTTGTGTGTCATCAAAGCGGATTGAATGAATAAATACATTCAGATCGTGTCATTCGTATCTATCGTGTCCGCAATGAAGCAATTTGTGTAAGTTGACGTAAACTATTTATATTTAGCGTGTTTTGTTACAACAATGTTGCGCATCACAATATATAAAACAAAGTTTCAAATAATATGCGATCTAATGTTTTATGTGTCACTGCGGCAAAAACGATATATTTTTTACGTCTGTCATCGTTCTTGTTCTCTCTTCTACTTTTTTGTTCTCTCATCTTCAATTCATCCGTATTCCGCTTTTAATTTTATTCAATTGCATCCATTTTTATTACGATGAATGGTGATGTGATGGTGTTCTTTGGTTGATACGAAAAATGCATGAGTAAAGTTCCACAAAACTATTTATGAAATTAATAAATGAGTAACATTGCAATGCGAATGTGGATAGGATACACCGGTTGAATTGAGGTGATGGAACCAACCAAGCAATCAGCATTACCATCGCAGTTGATGAACAGTGAGCGAACGACCGTGTTCACATATCACTTTGTTGGCCAATAGTTTTATTGCAATTTTCAACGAACATCTCGAGTGTCTTAGAGTTTCAACATGTTGAAATAATATCAAATCATGCGATATGAAATGTGGCAAATTTAATGAAATTTTTGAAATGGTGAAACCGGAGAGAGAGAGATAGAGAGTGTGCTATATAAGAGTTCAAAATACGATGTGAAATTTATGGACATTTATTGCATTTCAGTCGGTAAAATATGTAGAAACTGCAACAACATTTAAACCGCATTGAAATGTGTCAAAGTCAACTTTCAAAATTCTGATGAGTAATAAAAGTGGTGTCGGTTCAAAATGTATATACATTTGTTTGCATCGTTTCGAAATAGATTTCAAATCTATCTACATTAGACAGTGATGATAAGCTTCATCATGCGGTCAATATCATTCGTATTAATTCGGTAAATTCATATAATTATAGAAGATTCTACTTGTTATTTTATTATTTTTCTCCATTCATAAAGTATACGAAACTCACTTAATATGATGAAGATTGACTATTTTCGGTCTTTATGCATCACATTGGTTTTGCCATTGTGTTTGCGTCTATTCATCCGAATTCCGTTGCCAATCGAAGGACACATAATCATATAACAGTCTTTATTGAAATGTAATTTTAGACCGATTGATGATCGTCTGTATTCAGGCACTAATCTGCGTAATAGAATAACCCATTGTCGTTGCTATTTGGAATATAAAAACACACAGCGTTCGAATCGAGAAAATAGTGTGCATTTAATTGGATTGGCTGACGGCCGATTATTTTCGATTCTTACTCCCCCTCTCTTTCGCTGTATATTTTGGATTACGTCAAATATAAAACTTTCCCCATTTTCAGTAATCCGATTGGTTGCTGGCTACAAATTGATAGGAAAAAACGGGACTTTATTATTGTTTGTGATGAAAATCACATGGACAAATATTTTTGTATCTGAAATCTGATTTTTTTATGGCCGAATACCAGCAATATTTTGACAAATAATATATCACGTTATGAGGATTGGGAAATGAACACTCACGCATCAAGCTGGTTGTTATTTTTGGTAGAAGAGAAAATTTTCTCAATGAATATAATACAATTATGATAGTTGGATTTGCGTCTCAAATTCTGAAAGGGCCATTGTACACAAACACTCTCCATAAACTATCAAAATTCGAACGCATTGACACTTGAGAACTTTCCATTCGTCACCATTCATACTCCGCTCTATTCGTCATCGTCGCTTCTTTAAATCTTCTCTTCCATGCTCTTTCAAGTTTCTTGACAGTATTTCCAAGCGCACTTCAAACAGAGACACAGAGATTGACGTAAAAAAAGATAGAGGTAAAGAAGGAAAGAGATAGAGCTATAAAGTTACAACTATAGAAATTATTATTTTCCTAATCCTAAGTGAATTACAACCGAATTCATGTAGTAATTCTTCATACAATATACGGATATTGATATTGAACGCGAAAGGTTCTCCCCAGTGATGAAACAACAACACCACTTGAATGGCAAACAATTCACGATTAATGTCTCTTTTTTCGGGTGTTTTCCATTCATTTTCCAAATGATGTTTTTATTCGCATTGGCCCAGTCACAACACTTTTCTGACCAAAACTTCAATTTTATTCTCGGCGTGAGTGCGTATGTGTGTAATGTGTATGGATTCGATTGTAAAAAAAAGATTTCCTCTGGTTATTCTCTCGTTTTCTGTTATTAAATGATTTAATAAGCTCACCATAACAAGGCAAAACTTTTCGATTGATTTGAGTGGAGGCTCATCTCAAATCAATTTTCGTTTCAACTATTTTCATATATTACGATGGGTGGCACGCGAGTGGAACAGAGAGCAAATCCATGTTGGATTGTGATTTTTTTCCTCTCTTGTATCTTATCGTAAATAAAACCGTATTTCAGAAGTGACTCACAGTGTGGATTCAATTCAGTTCGTTTTGTATCAATTCCATTTCCTGCCCAAAATTGAAATAATATTTCAATTTCATTGAATTGGCCATGTGAAACAATTTTCAAGCAAACGAACAAATAAGACGGCAGTCAGGAAAGGACGGGAGAAAAGGAGAGCAAGCGGGAGAGAGAAAGAAAAAAAAAGTAATGAAACGAAAACAGTATAAGAGAGTAAGTGAAGGAAAAAGAGCGATGGAGTGGAAGAAGGCAAGAGAGCACAAAATGGCATGAAGCGAGAAAAGAAAGTTCTTTCGATGCGAAAACATCAAACATACTGAATGACTTATTTAAAGTATACGCACTCGATCGTCTATTGGGAATAAAAAAAAGTATCATCGTACGATATAGAAAACGTCACTCAAACATTGTGTGGAAAAGAATACCTTTTGGTGGTTAAAAGATGGTAGCCGATATGTTGACGGGCATCGAATACAGATATATCCGTGATAATATTCAATTTCAGGATATGATGTACATAGTAGTGTGTTGTTGATGTGGCACTAAAGGCCATCGGGTGTACATATTGTTTTGCCTCAAACTTGGTTGTGCTTACGTGCGTTATATGCACACACACAGAGAGAGAAAAATATTTCGAATAAAACTGATGTCCTTTCCGAAGACGAGACCAAACATTGTGCGTTGTGCATAATATGCGAATGAGTAAATACGACTTTCATTCAGCTCATTTAATTGTTTGGAAAAAAGTTGTTTTTTTCCTTTGCTTGTGATACATTGTTATTGTTTGTTTATTGATACGTTGAGCTATGTTGAGTGCATGTTGATGTGGTCAATGGTTTTGATGATACTCTTTTTGGGACTGTTCTACACGCAATGCAATGCTCGGGCCCATATCATGAACGCATGTTGAACATTTATTATGGCCTCAGTATATGAGGCCCCGGTGGTTTTGTCTAGTCTGGTTTTTGTCAAAATTATCGCAGCATGAGGTCATACGTGAGCAACGGAGATAGAGAAACGCTTCTGACGAGGGAGAAAAAAATTCCATGAAAAACGCAAATGAAGAAGCGGATTTGTTGTGTAACGAAGCGCTCGTTGAATAATAATGTGTAAAGAAAGAATAAACGTTGAAGTGTGATGAAAAAGCTTCAACACACATTATATTTATTATATCGAACATTGTGAGGGGGATATTGAAGGGAAAAAAAGTATGTAAGAAACAACAATAACAGTAACATGAGAATATATAAAATACTTACGCCATCGACACTTAAATTTTTCGGTTCAACAGCAAACGCTTTGATAATCGCCCAGCTTAGCACAAAAACGGCCGGTCCACCTTAAGCGAAAAATAGCATGCATCAAATGGAATCAATGGGAAAAAAATTTAAATGGTACAAGAAAGAGTCGATTAATACATTTACAAAAAGAGAAGAAAAAAAAACACTCGAGATTTGTCGCCTGCGGTGCCAAGATGCATTTTGGGATAAATACACATCGAAGCATTAACGAACAAAAACAAGCCATATCGGACCTTCTGACGCATATGGAATGAGTTGAATTCAACTGAATCTATATACTTTGAACACGATATAAATGTGTGGCATGATTTTCTGCTTGAATTCACCGAAAACTTATGATCAAAACTCATCGATTAATTTACGGTTGTCGACTGATTTCAACAATCATCGGCCCCAAATTCGAACTTTGTCTACACCACTCTCTTTCTCTAACTCAATCAATCTCTCATTCTCTTTTTTTCATTCATTCTCTTTCTCTAATTTACTCGGTCTCTCTCTCTCGTCCATTTTGGCACACTCAAATTCGACAAGTGGGTGGTTGAATTGTACACGCGTCACTAGCTTTCAAGCGCATACAAACACAATATGAATCAAATGCTCAAAATTGAATATGAAAAGCTTATTATTACACAGTTGACTGACATTGACGACCCAGTTATGTATATATTTATGTGTTTGAAAGCGGGTAGGGGTGAAAATTCACTTTAACTAAGTTCGATAAAAATTAAGTAAGTTTTATTTGGATCGATGTCAAAAATTGAATTACCGAAATAGTCATCGTTCAATGTCACACAAACTCGAATTGCGTCAATAAAAGCAATCGGAATGTGTTGGAAAAATCAATGTTTTTCTTTTCTTTTACCGACAAAAATTTGATGATTTCCTCGAAACATAAAATAATGATGATGTTTTCCCGCATGTGAAAATGTATGATGCGAAAATAAGCCGCTGTTTGCAACAAATGTTTATATTGTTACTTCCGAATGGACTGAGCGGGGCACATGAACGATATCAGATGCGCATCTCTCATTCCATCGAACGTACATTTTAATTGCTTGGTTGTTTAACTTATTAAAACTTTTTCCGCAAAAGTGTTTTTCGCATTTTATTCGATATATATTGTGCGCCTGTGTTTATATTTATGGCCTCGGGAATGAAGCGCCCTCACATATTTTGGGCATAAAAAATGAGGCATATGCAAGACCATACATGGTTTTTACGAGTTTTTTTCTGTGTTTCATTTATGCTTCGTATTTTTAATACAACTTACAATTTATAATTTCTTTGATTTTTTTGCCACTTCCCCTTTCTTTCTATTTTTCACTCCTTTTCTCTCTCCATATTACACACATTCATCATTTCAACATACTGAGTGAAAATGTGTACGAGTTTTATCATTTTCAAAAACTTTTTCAAACGCTTATGTAAATAATGTTAACGAACTCGCTTTGTACAATTTATGGAAGTTTAGAGATAACCCTAGAGCGAGCTGTAATAGTAGAGTGTAGCAAGTTGATTTTTTGTTCACCCTTTCTCTGTGTCCATCTCATCTTCAGCGAACAGTAATTGAGAATAATAAGACCTTAAAATGGCGATTATTCAGTCGACGAAAAAGATACAACTGTTCTCTAAAAAACGGCGACCCAAACCAGCTTAGATATCGCTACCAATTGCAATGCTATAAAGTGTTCGTGTATGGTGTCATCACAAAAAATGAAAGAAGCGAGAAAAAGCCGGAGATCAACCCAAGTGTGAGACATTTGGTCGGTGCAAGCAGATTTATATTTCATCAAATGAAAATCTGTTGGACAATTTAAATGGATTTATTCGTTTACTCGACAGCGACTCTCGTTTTTTTAAAGAAGAAAAAAAGAAAAACGAAATGACTACTCACCCCATCCAATTAGTGCATACATATGAAATTTAAGATTATCACCGGAAAACGTTTCCACCACTAGCATGTACAGATAGAGACCTAAATTAATTTTCATTTTTCATCATAAACAATGGCAAAACGGCAGCGTTTAACAAAAAAGGAAAGAGAAAAAAAAAATAAATAAAAGTGTTATTAAGACGATTGTGGCAAAGTGTTTCGGACTAATACGAAATCAGATTTATGAATTTGTTTTTGTAGCAGCTCTCTGTTTTTACATCTGCCGCATTTTCGAGTTGTTTATTCGATTGAATTTGTTGCGTTCGAGATAAAAGCAAAAACATCAAAAGTGACGATTAATTTAATAAAGAGGGAAAATAAAAACACATTTGATTTAGATTTGTCAATTATGCAAATTTGTCAAACAATCATTGTTTAACAATGGCAATATTTGAGCAACCAAAATGACACAATGTAAGAAATAAAAGTGAACAAAACAACGAATGAATGCAAATTTAACTTATTTCGAAAACATTGTTTGCTCTTTGATTTCCGCGCCGGCATCGTTTTCACCACGATTTTAAAACTTACCTTCAACTAACATCCAAAAGAAGTTTGTCAAACTGAAGTAGTGAAAAAATGTAACAAGTAAAACGCAACCAACAGCGCTGGGTTCAATCTGTAATTACAATTAAAAGAACATTTAATGAATGTATAAATAGGCTGAAAAATAGAGCTTCTTATTCGATATATAAGTTCTTCGGCATAGGTGTTGACTCAGATTCCACAGGTCCTGATTTACTTCATCAAAAAAAGGAGGACGGGACCCACTGAACAATTTTGACAGGACTTTTTCGATTTGCCAGGGCCCGGTATCTATTTTTTAATCCAGGTGGAATCAAAAAGCGATTTTTGTTTCATTCTTTTGTATTAGACTGAATTAACTTTTGTCAAGTCCCTCTCTCCGCCCCCTCCTGAAATCTTTGGCGTCAACACTTATGTTCTCACAGAAATAATATATACAGTGTATATTATACACCATGCATATCAATTTAATTTCGTACCTGGAGTGAAAGCGTTAGCAATAGTATCCATAAAAGTGCTGATAGAATATGAGTGATAAATAAATTCGCATGGATCGTATTTCGTAAACATCGAAGATCTCTGTAATTGAAACAATGCAATGAAACAAATACCACATCATTTTCGTATCAAATGTTTTTTCTGATTTTTCAACATGGTGAAGGTCATAGCCAGAATTTTTTTTCAACATTAAAATATATAATTCATTTCATTAGCCCATTTTTTGTTGGCATACATATTTGTCTTTTAAAATTTGTGTGGGATACACAGCGGTGTATGTTTGCTACACTTTCATCATTTCTCGACAGGGAGAGAAAAATGTCACTTGGTCTTGAGAAAAATTTAACATTGAGATAAAGGAGTTCCGCATACATTTTAAATGTATCACCAAACTCGAAGAACAAATTGTTCTTTCCATAATCTTGAAGTTCTTGAAAATATTCCAACCACCATGTGGTTCACACGATTTGAAGCAACACATAAGCATTTCAATCCATTTAGTGATGGCAAAAGAAAATCTTTTATAAGTAAGAAGAAAAAAAGAGTTGGTTGAGATCAGTAGGCGAAAAATGTATAAAACCAGAAATGCTGTGCTTGCGAATATGCTTGAAATAAGACATTGAGCTTTTGATGTCGTAAGCTTTAAAAAAAATGTTGGCTATGACCTTGTTTCTTGGAATTTTTTGCTCTTCGCATTGCGGAACACCATTAAAATTCGTCGAAAATGAATTGCTTTTTGTTTGTAATGTGCAAATGTTTAGTGTAATTACTTGAAATAAAGAAAAACAGCTACAGCTAAAGTAAGCGACACTAAGCTAATTGTATAACCGGTGTAGTAGACCTGAAAGTTAAAAAAACACTTTTCGTTATTTATTCGGTCCGTATTCTTGTGTGCACAAGTATAAATAGTGACCAAAGTTGGTAATTCAATGCCTGCGTCGAATTCGGGCACAACTGTTGGTTGGAGATGTTGGCACAAATCATAATGAGTGTAATTATCCCATTGGCCGTCAAAATGGCACCGTCTCGATGCATTCTCTATGCGATGGATGATTGAATGAGTGGAATTTCATGTCATAAGTCGTACGACAAAAGGAAAAACAAAAGAAAGTAAATGTAAAGCGGAGATAGAGAGAGAAAAAGAGAAAGAAAATAAGCGTGAGTAAAAAAAAGGTAAGTAATTTATGTCACTGAAAGAGGTTAATTAAATTTCTCCCAAGAGTACATCAGTAGCTTACTTGTAATATCGTAATGTACGCCTTGGAATTCGGCCGGACACGGTAAATAGGCGACGACGCCACGCACGGTTTTTGGCCAACATAATATCGAATCCCAATGAGTTAGACAAAATCTCGAATGTTCACTCTAAACGGATGTAAAACAAAATATTAATTATTCCTTCCTCTTTTCATTTCAACGATACACAAATAATAAAAGTCCCTTAAATGCCAAAAGTAAATACTACTTAGGCAAAATTATGGTAATTATTTGTATGTGTGTGTTTGTGTCTGAATAAAAACAAAAGAAGTAGAAGAAACAACAGTTGAAAGGAATCACGAGCATTTAAACTAAATTATCTAAACAAAAGAGATAAAAATCGATCAAAAGAAATAATAAAGAGCCGAATGAAAAGGAAAGAATAAGAGAAGACGGCGAAAAGAGCAGCAGGAAATGATGATCGAATTATTTGATTTTACCTCGGTGAGCTTTTCAACTTCTCCCGCGAATGTACATTTGAATTCTAAACTCTCGTTAATTTTTTTATAGTCATCCAATGGGATGCCCGCAAGATCCGGGTCGTCTATCGAAGCCACACTGAATGCGTCTGTAATGAAAATGAACAACTATAAGTGCTAAAACATTATGTGAGGGTACCGAACAAAAAAATGTTTGAAAAACACCTTTTTTGCCCTTTAAATAAATTGATACAACAAAAATAAACACAATTTCGTTTTTTTTTTTTAAAAGAAAATGATAATAAGCTCGGGCGTTTGGTATCGTTTTAGTAAATTTCCAGAGCTGATTACAATAGACCAGTAAAAAAATAGATGAGAGATAGAAAATGTTGAGCAAAAAATAGAGAATGAAATCAAGATAAAAATTGAGAAGGGATTGATTTTTTTTTCGAAAGATACAACGGTATCATACACACGGCAAATACAATTTTACAATCATTGTATACGTTGTTGCAAAAGTATGTTGTATCCGGAAGATAAGTATGATTAACACGAAAACTCATCATCTATACAATATGCGAGAGCAAAAAGGCAAGACAAAAGAAATTGAGATTCAGACACATAAAAAGAACGGAGCAGGAAACAGACTGAAACTGAGAAAATGAGCTTGAAAACGTTTCGACTGACTGCGGGGATTAATGTGATTTTTGTCATATCAAATCTAATTTCAATGTATTTGCGTATATTTTTTTATTTTTGATGCGCTCATCGCAACTACTTTGACATTCTTTTTACATCGATTCTTGTAACTGTGTGGTGTCAACGACACGAGACAAGAACAAATTTACTCAAAATCACAAAAAATGAAGTCGCTTTTTTTATTCTTTTTGTAACATTTTCGTAACATTTTCTCATCTATTCGTCAAAAATATATGTCCTTGTACAAAGCGACTTGACTTGACAATATAGTCAAGCATCGACATTTCCAGTAACTGTGGTGCGCTCCAAACCTTTTCAATAGAGATTTGAAAATATCGAGCAAATAATTGTGAGTCACAATGTATGAAAAAAAATGGCGTTTTTTTTCTTCATTCAAATCCATCTCCGTTCAAAATTCAATAGAAATGTTCACTTTTGGATCAAAGCAATACGTGAAACTATAATTTCTCCATTGGACTCCTTGATTTTTGTAAACTAAAAGAAAATCTTTCTTATTTTGGGTTTGTTTTATTTCAAAAGTTTCGATGCTGTTTGTTCTTTCGAAAAGCTCGGAATATTTTGGAACCTATCATGTATTCGAATTCAAAAGCTATACAAAAGAAGTACAAACCGTATAAAATTAGACATATTTACTTTATTTACTCATGGTTGTCATTCGCTTGTGAGTCTTATCACAAAACACATCGCACATTGTTCGTTGTCAGGCCGAGCCATCGCAATTGAACTATTTTTGTCATTTGGAGACAGAAAAACATACAAAATGATAACGATGAGCTCCAATACTGGCGAAATATAATAATTTCAACTATATTACTTTGTATAAATGTGTTTTTTTTTATTTGTAGCTATTTTATTGTACAGATACAATGTAAAGGCCATTGTAAGCAAAGCGCGATGATGACAAACAACGTTGACAGGTGCGGTTGCCAGCGAAACTAAAAAATGGCACAAATTTCGATCGCCTAAATCAAAAATGGTACACATTTGTGCCACCCAACATAAACAGTGACAACCATAATGAAGTTGCTGCGTTGCCTAGCTGTTATTGTCGTTGTGCTTTGATTGTAAGGATGGTGGAATGATAAATGAATCATTGTTGATATTTTACATCTATTCAACAAAATAACACACCATTAATTTACTTGAAACTTGGAATATGACAAAAAAACCAAATACATACACCAATAATGACTTTTATTTAGATGATGCTGCTACAATCATGATGCTATTATTGACCACAAACACGTATCATCCGCCTGTAATCAGGTTTATTCATTATTTCAATGAGAATTAGTGTGAGAGCGACAGAGTAAATATTTGCGGTGGTCATTGCCCGACACATGTATGTCGGTTGCCGCACACTGAAAATCGGTAAAACTTACCGCATAACGACCTGTTGTTCTTGATGTTTCACATTTCAACAACGGACGAATGGATTTTCCATATATGTTCGTTATTTGAATTTATAGCAATCAGTATGGGCTGTGCTCCAAAATGTGTTGTATATAATACTCACTAATGAAGACATTCGTGATAACAATAATCAACACACTTCCGAGAAATTTAAATGGTAAACACATATAACATGATACTTTTGATAGAGATTTTAGCATTTTTAATCAAAGAATGGGCATGATGTGGTTTCATTTTTCTCTTTAATTATAGCCCATTAATACTAAACCAAAATCATTGTTTTTATTATTTCCGATGTAATCAATTTTTTATGACCGAAATAAAAACATTTTCTCTCGTTTTAGAATATCTGGATAAAATGTTAATGTGAAAAATAAAAGTAAAAAAATGGAAAATTCAAGAAAGTTCTAGGAAAAATCATTTTAAAACAGACTATCGCTCAGCACTGTTGCTAGCATGTTTACGGAGAAGGGGAAGATGACGCATACTTATTATAGCATTGAATTTTTATCTAAAAGCATGCCCTTCAACTGGAACCTTGGACTAATAATAATTGTGTCAAAGTTTTTTTTTCCTAAAGAAATTCGTTCATGTGTCGATGTTGACAAAAGATGCGTTTTAAATTTGTTAGAATTCAAAATGAAATTCAAAAATCATCCAAATCTTGAAAAATTTGTCGAGTTGAATTGACTTTAGATTATAATGTGATGTGATAAAAAATCATCAAAATTCACCGTATAAAAAGACAATTGCACCCGTCGGCATCAAAGTCCCTAGGGGGAGCTGTGACAAATAATTGACTTGAATGAATTTCGATGTCAAAATCACCGCCAGTCATCATATCCAATCACATACATTTAAGCATCACATACATTTTAAAGCACTGATTTAATCAAATCGTGAACATCTAATCGCTGGTAACAATCGCTTTTTATTTACCAAATTAATCGGATTCAAATATTGTCTGTAATCAAAATGACTGTTCGAAGTAAATCATGACTCAAGACAAATATGCGTCGTTTGTTGGCGGGACAAATGTTAAATTTTACGAAGGCGTAAATGTAACGTTAAGATTTGAATCAAATAAATAAACTTGATATATTCCAACGACTTAGAATAATGACGTGTCATAAACAATTTGTTTGGCATTACAAATCATCAGTTGTAATATTCATTTGTGTAAAATGGTAGCGATTCAAAAGATCATAATTTAATCGTCACTTTTATGTTTGCGGATGTTTGTTTAATTTTTTTTGTTTTGATATTATTTTCTCTTGAATCAACATCGTTGACGCCGTTCATATTAAGTGAATCGCAATAAAAGTGCTGTCCATCCATCGCTCTATGTATTTTCAAACATAGGTAAGCAGAGGAGGGGGTGTTCTGTGTTTTGCCCACTAAATTGGGTCTGCTCCCTTATGAACTTTCTAAATCTTTCGACTTTCTAGGGGTTATCCTGGTCAATCCATTCCCCAGGTAGAAGAAGTCTACCCACCAATGTTTTTATTTTTATTTTGAATTCATTCAATGTCAAACTAAGGTAAGTGTATGCATTTGAAAATGTCATAAATTGTAATTTTCATCTTCAAACTGATAAATGTCGACTGCAAAATTCTATGAACTGGCATTAGTCATGTGAGAGGTTATTTAAAAAAAAAACTCCATTCATTGGAGCGCCAGAGCGCCAATTTTTACGACAAAAGTGATTTGGAATGTATTCAAGCACGTGTATTTCTATCATGTGAGCGCTTATAGAGAGTGTACGGCGATGATATTGTGTAAATGTGGCAAAAAATGTGGCATTTGAATGCACTTTGAAGCAATATTGTTGTAGAGGTTCGCTTGTATGATTACAGCGCTATCTGTAAAATATACGATTTCTTGATGCCAGAAAAGCAACAGTGATAATATTTAGCTGAATAGCGATCACATACAAAGTCATGCCAGCCAATCATCTTTGTTGAGCATTCATTTGTTGCATACATCAAATTTAGCGTGTCCCGCATGTGTCCGACCCAAACCGAATATACACAGGTTTTATAATATAACGTAAAGACCAGACAACCATTCATTTGTCGGAGGAAAAAAAGGATTGGCAAAATCCAGTTGATGGTGTACTTTCATGGAAAATGTTTGATAACAGAGTTGTATTTGTATGGTTTTGGTCAAATGTTGCGGTTAATCAAAATGGTGCGAGACCTTTAAGACTTACACTTTCTCTCTCTTGCACTTTCTGTTATTCCCATTGAATTTTCGACATTTGCATACGTCAAACACTCGGTGGTTTCTAACGAATAAACCATTACCATTTTAATATCATATATAATATGTGCATAATGTTTTTTTTCCCTTTTCAACTTATTTTCAGTGATCAGGGTCTGTTTAGGCCAAAGTTCCGTGCACCCGAGGGGAAATCTTCTTTATTTCTTCTATTTTCTTCATATGCTCTTTGAATCAGATATCCAATTTCTTTTTTTGCAAAAAAAATTGTTCGGATTCCATTGTCAAAGGATGTGTGTTTTGGGATTTTTTTTTCAGTTTTCTTGAATTTGACAGGAGAAATAAAAAAACATCTATGGACAATGCAAATTCAACAGTGCCAATAAAAAAAATTGATAAAATAAAACCAAATCACAACGAAAACCAGAATGTACTGACCCATCGTTTGTACAAACCCTGTATGTTCGCGGAATACTGTCCAATGAATTTCAGCTTGACATGGCGACCGCCTTTTTTCTACATGCCCAAAAATGGTGTGTTTGGTATGTGTGCAGGGTTTTCGTGATGTAATTTAAATTGAAACATTCATGTTGGTTTGGAAAAAGAGAAAAACTCTACGAAATGTGTACAACGACCTTTGGACATTGGCTTGTAATAAAAGCAAAAAAATGGAATAGATAAACTACTTTCTGAATTTAATAGCAGTGGTTTTTTTATGCGCGCTCATCACTTTTCCACTATTGCATCGAACAGAATGAGTCACGAAACAGACGGAGTAAAAGAGGCAACTAAAAGA